GGTGGGCAGGCAAAAAGTAAGAAAGGAGGAAGGGGCATCTCTGAGAGGCAGGAGAGATGAAAAGGAGTACTGCTTCAGAAAGTATAGAAAAGTGTACCCAAGATGCCCGCCGCCATCTTGGAAAAGGAGCGCGCGCCGCCGGGGGCCCAGTCGAGCGCCGAGCGCCGCCAGCGGTTGAGAGAGCGAGCGAGCAAACGAGCACCGAGCGCATCGAGCTCTGCGGTGGCGAGCTCCGGCGATCCTGCGCTGCCCTGGCCTAGCTGGGATATGCGCAGCGTCTGGTCTTGCGAAGCTGGAAGCTCCGAACGACTCAGCGAGATCGGGTTGTCGCATCTTGCAGGGGAAGGCTCCAGAGGCGGACTTGCTCAACAGTGCACTAGTAGCTGGAGTGAGAGATGGCACACTACTCCAATATTCTGATTCATAACGCCTGCTTTGCCCACAGCCAGTGCGGTTCTTTCACTGTTTTTGCATAGCGATTCTTCTGTGCGAGACTCAGAGCTGTGCAGATCCACAACAGTGGTACTTGTTTGTAATTCAGCATTTTTATTTGGATATTTGGCCTGTGGTGTGAGAGAGAGCATATTTTTGCAACTGAAAATAATTTGCACACCTCAGCACCCTCATCTATCCCTCGCTAGCGATTTTCATTTACAGGTTAATGACACTTTGCAGAAGTGTGGTCTCCCCCACACAGAAGGGAGTGGATGGGTAGAAAGCTCTCGTGATTTTTCACAAGTTCTCTGTGGAGAACTTGGTAGCTCAAGTTCTGCCAACGTGGGCAGACAATACAAAGTACAGCACCTGGTTTTTAATATGAGGACCTTACTTTTGGGGCGCTAGTATAATGGGCTGCTTAGTGAGGTGCAGCTGCCATCGCCGGATGAATCTGAGCAGGAGCTGGTGACCTGGTCACTGCAGAGCAGAAGGATGGAAGTATACATTGGTTTCCAGAGTTGTGAACCCCATGGAACTGTGCAAAAGCTGAGGGTGTAGCTCAGTGACAGAGCACTTGCCCAGCATATGTAAGGACCCTGTGTTTAATCCTTAGTGTTAAACACACACACACGCGCGCGCGCGCACACAGAGAATAATGAGAGAATACTATGAACAACTCCACAATCATCCTTTTGACAACTGAGATAAAATGGACCAATTCTTCAAAACCACAACATGCGGGGATGTAGCTCAGTTGCGCTGTGCCAGCTAGGCAAGCTCAAAGTCCTGAGTTCCATCCCTGGTACCAAAAAAAGAAAGGAGGAAAGAAAGAAAGACACAACCTACCAGAAATAAATCATTTTTGTACCCTTACAACTTTTAAAGACATTGAATTTGCAATTAAAATTTTTTTTTTGTTGAGACAGAGTCTTGCTGTGTAGTTCAGGCTGGCCTTGTATTCACTATGTAGCCCAGGCTGGCCTGAAATTTATGATGATTCTACTCCCTCAGCCTCTTGAGTACTAGGATTACAAGTGTGTACCACCATGCCTCTAATTTTAAAATTCTTTTTTTTTTCTCGGACCGAGAAATTCCTGATTGCCAGGCAGCTTGGTGGGGAGATGTAGTGCTATTGAGCTACATTCCTGGCCCCATTTATTTATTTTTGGTACTGGGAATCGAACTCAGGATCTTGTGCTTGTAAGGCAGGCTCAGTGATTCATTGGATAATTCTCTCAGATGTTTAAAAATAATTAAAATTAGTTCTACAGAATCTTTTCCAGGAAATAGAACGCTTTCTAATTGACCATGAAGCTCGTATTATCCTGATAGCAAAACCAGACAAAGAAAATACAAAAAATTACAGGTCAGTCAGGCGCAAGGCTCCTTCAGGTATTATCAGAGGGAGGGCCAGGGATTTAGCTCAGTGGCACTGCACCTGCCTCTCAAGTGCAAGGTCATGAATTTTATTTGGTAAAAAAAAAAAAAAAATATATATATATATATATATACACACACACACATACACATATATATAGACATACATATATATCAGAGGGAATCCAGAAACATGTAAGAGTTCCAAACTTGTCCTAGGGATGTAAGCCTGGTTTAGTATTTGAAAAATCAGTTAGCATACAGGCTAGAGAAAAAAGTTCATATGATTTTATCAACCAATGCAGAAAAAACACTTGACAAAATTCAGCACCCATTACAAAAAATAGAGATGTAGGGCTGGGGATTCAGCTCTGGTTCCACTGCCTGCCTCACAAGTTCAGGGACCCAAGTTCGATCCCTGGTACCAAAAAAAAAAAAAAAAAGAGAGAGAGAGAGAAATGCAGCTGACACTCTCAGTGAAAGGCTAGATGCTTTTCCCTTCACAGTGGGACATGGTAAGGATGGCTGCTCTTGTCCTTCTGATCCAATTCAGTGCTGGGATTCTAGACACTGCAATAAAGGAAACAAGCCACACAGACAAAGCAGAAGGAGCAAAACCATCTATATTTTTAGATGATGTGATTGTTTATGTAGGAAATCTTAAGGCATCTGCAAAAAATTTAAAAAATATAAATTATTAAAGCAATGTGAGTAGATCAGTATTAAGGATACAACATAAACCTGTAAAAAGCAATTTCATGTGCACGTACTTGAAAAGAACACACGGACACCGATGTTAAAATATGATACTGTTTATAGTCACTCAGAAGCAGGCTAGCAATGCCAGGTAGTGTTTGTGCTGTTCATCTCGTCTCCTCACCTGGTTTAAGAGGCTCTCCCAGAGCTAAATGGATTGGGAGGGCTCTGTTCACAGTTGGACAGGCCACTAGGAGAGGGGTCTGGGAACCAGGTGTGGTGCTGCACACCTGTAATCCCAGCTCTCAGGAGGCTGAGGCAGGAGGATTGCCATGAGTCCGAGGCCAGCCTGGGTTACGTAGTGAGACCTCGTCTCAGAAACAAAACTGAACAGGAGTGGGGCCCAGTTGGAGGAAGTGCGTCGTGAAGGCACAACCTTGCGGACTGCATCAGACCACGGGCCACTGTCTCTCCAGCTCCCCCGCTCTGCTTCCCTGACCCATGACCTGGCAGTGCTGCTCTTCCAAGTCTTCCTGCCACGTTGCTTCTGCCCTGGTGCTGCCCACATCATGGGCAGAAGCTTCTGACCCTGGAATCAGAAGACGCCTTCCTCTTCTAAATGCTTCTTCTCAGGTATTTGGTTCCGGTGACTGGAAGGTGAGTAACATTCTATTGTTGAAAAAAGGAGGAATACTAGGTATAAATCTAACAAAACATGTCCAAACTGCCAATCAAATAATTTAAAAACTACATGCATAAATAGACAGAGTTTCATCGTTTGGAAGATTCAATTTAGTAAAGATGTCAGCTCTTCCCCACGACATAAAGGCTCCATGGAACTCTTATCACAATACACACAGCCAGCTCTTCTTAAAGTTTATGTAGAAAGCAAACAGAATAGGAAACGTTTTGGAACAGGTGAGCGTGACCCAAGAATAAGTATACTCAACTTTGAAATTGTGACGTAGCTACAGTAATCGCGAGAGGTGTCAGCAGAGGGCAAGACAGATCCCTGGAACAGATTGTAGAACCAGACATTAACTCACGAAAGGGTGCCATGCTGATGTTCAGAAGCTGAGAAAGCAACCCTGAGCGAGATAAAACAGATGCAGAAAGACTAATACTGCACGATCTCACGCACTTGTAGTATCTAAGAATGCCGAGTACACAGAAATGGAAGAGAATTGTGGTTACCATGACAAGTAGGGGAAGGCAACAGGAAACGTAAGGAAAGGCAGATAAACAGGGCGAATAAATCTAAAGCTGCAATGCACACGAGACTACAGCTAATTGCGTTGTGCACCAAGAATGTGCCAAGACTGAAGATTTTAGGTGCTCTTGTTACCATGTGAATAGAGCCTGTGGTCTCAACGGTGAGGAATGGAGTGGAAAGCAAAGGGAGGTCAGGAGAGCTTTTATCAGAAATGAGAAGAAAAGGGGCTCCTGATTTCTCCAGGAGGGGAATACGAAAAGTCAAAATTTGGCATGGCCCTGGGTCTGATGCTTCCTGTGGATGATGGAACACAGGAGTTGCACGTTTGCTCAGTGACCGCTGACTACAGATGGCTCTGTGATTTCAGGAGGACCAGTTGGACCAGTTATTCAGTACGTGGGGTTTAAAGGAGAGGGGGTTTTAAAAGTAAAAACTGGTTATTCTGCATGTTAAGCTTCTGGAAACTCAGGACTTAGTGCAGAGGGCTGCACCTCCTTTTCTTTACAGGGAGGGGTCTGCATTCCATACTACCTGAGGAAGTTAAATCTTGGTCCAGAGGCCTAATTCACTGTCTCTTCTTATTTTAACT